ATCTTGAGGCTCTGTGCAAAATTTGGCTTTAGGGAAGCTAAAATTCTTCTTTAGGCAGATTAAAGCACAGCTGTATATTGCCTGCCAGATCCCTGAAGGCATGCCTCAACACACACCATAGCCATTTGGCAAAAGTTGGAAGACTTATTGGTTCAAGTTCCTTAAGGAAATCTCTATCCAACCATTACCCAACCACTAAGCTAACTACAGAGACTTCAGTGGTTATACACAAAAAATATAGACCTTACAGAATTATCTAGAAAAGACACTAAGCAAACAAACAGCAGCAGCAACGATAGTCACAAACAACCCTGCACTGGGAGAAGGGGAATCTGATTCCCAAAGTTGCTACATTTTATTATGTAAAATGTCCAGTCTTTAAGAACAACAAAAAATGAAACATGCAAAGAGCCATGACGATATGGCCCCCCCAAAAAGGGGAAAAACAGCCAATAGAGACTGTCCCTGAAGAAACTCAGATGTCGGACTTACAAGACAAAGAGGTTAAATACGTTCAAAGAACTAACGGAAACTAAGTCTAAGGAATTAAAGGTAATTATGATGTCTCATTAAATAGCAATAAATAGAAATTATTTTTAAAAACTAGCTATTCTGAAGTATAAAAAACTGAAATTAAAATTTAGTAGAAGAGCTCAACAGCACATTGAATTAGCAGAAGAAAGAACAAGAAAAAACTGAATATATGTCCATCGAGATGATCTAATCTAAGGTACAAGAGGGAAAAAAAAAGAATAGAGAAAAAAAGGACAGTGCCTCAGAGACCCATGGGACATCATTAAGTTTGCCAATATACACATAAAGAGAGTCACAGAGGAGAGAGAGAGAGAAAGGAATAGAAAGAATATTTGAAGAAATAATGACTAAAAACTATCCAAAGGTAATTAAAAACAACTATACATCTAAGAAGCTTAATGAATACCACATAAAATAAACACAGAGATCCCCATATAGATACATTGTGGTCAGACCTTTAAAATACACAGAGAGAATGTGAATGCAACAAAAGAAAAATGAATCATCCATACAAGGGATTATAATAATAAAATTAACAGCTGACCTCTCATCAGGAACATGGAGGTCACAAGGCCATACGTTGACATATTTGAAGGGCTGAAAGAAAAAGAATTCATCAAGAATTCTATATTCCGAAAAATTAGCCTTCGAAAGCTAAGGGAAATTAAGGCATTTCCAGATAAACAAAAACAAAGAGAAATTACCACTAGCAGACCTGCCCTACAAAAGGTACTAAAGGGAGCCATTCAGGCTGACATGAAATAACACTCAAAAGCTACATGAATCCACACAGGAAATAAAGAATATCAGTAAAGGCAACTGAATATGTATATATGAAAGACATCATAATGTATATTTTATGAAAATATATTTCACATATGAAAAAAATTCACTCTTTTAAAGTGTACAGTTCAGTGGTTTTTAGTATATTCAGAGAGTTGTGCAACTATCACTACTATCTCATTTTAGAACATTCTCATCACCCTTAAATAGAAAAAAATATATAGCAACCTCCCCATGCCTTCTGTTTTCATCCCCTGGCAACCAATACTCTACTTTGTCTCTATGGATTTGTCTATTCATGCCATTTAATATAAATGGAATCATGAAATATGTACCTTTTAGGCTGACTTCTGCCACTTAGGATAACTTTTTTAAGATTCATTCATATTATAGCATGCATCAGTATTTTATTCCTTTTGATAGTTGAACAATATTCCATTGTATGAATATACCACATTTTGTTTATCTATTCATCAGTGGAAGGATACTTGGATTGTTTCCATACTTTGGCTTTTATGAATAATGCTGCTATGAACATTCATGTACAAGTTTTTGTGGGTGAACATATTTGAAACTCTTTTGAGTATATACCTAGGATTAAAATTGCTACATCACGTGGTAACTCTATGGCTAACTTTTTGAGAACCTGCCAAACTGTTTTCCAAGTGGCTGCACAATTTCACAATCACACAGCAATGTATAAGGGGCCCAGTTTCTCCACAGTCTTATCAGCACTTGTTATTGTCCATGATTTTAGCCATCCTAGTGGGTGTGAAGTGTTATTTCATTGTGGTTTTTATTTGTATTTTTCTAATGACTAATAATACTGAGTATCTTTTTCCTGTAATTATTGGCTATTTGTATATCTGCTTTGGAAAAATGTCTGTTCAAACCCTTTGTTCATTGATAAATTGAGTTATTTGTCTTTTTATTGTCAAGTTGGTAACAGTAATTTGTATATTCTAGATATTAGACTTTTATCAGATATATGACCTGGAAATACTTTCTCTGTTCAGTGGGTTTTAACTTCTTGATAGTGTCCTTTGTTATAAAAAGAGTTTTTAATTTTGATGATGTCCAATTTATTTTTTTCCATTTTGAAAGTGTTTTAACATTTTTTTCATATTCTGCATTAGTTTAGGTAGCAAGAAAGTACTTTATTTGTCAGACTTAAAAGACTAACAGATAAGAGTTTTCAGCTCTCACATTTTTAAAACAATTCTGATTTTTTAATGTTGATTTGTTAAGATTTTTTTTAACTGCTTTCAGTTAATTTCAATATTTTTTCCTAACTTTTTTTATCTAAAGGTTTTACGTTTAATCATTGTATGAATACCTAAAACTGGAGTGGCTTTTTTGTGGAATTAATCATTTTATAATTATTTATTTATTTTGCTATTCAAATTTTCTTTCTTTTTTCTTTTTTTTTTAATTCAGTCTCCATAGAGACTGTCAAAAATTGCCAGGGATGACTATATTGCAAGTCGTCATGGTGGGAAATGTTTTCAATTAGTAATAATCACGCCTCGGATGAACCTCATTGGCTACAATACTGCCACTGAGCAAAGCTGCTATTCCAATTTTCTTTTTTTATTCCTTTTTTTTTTATATTCAGTCTGCATAGAGACTGTCAAAAATTGCCACGGCCGACTGTATTGCAAGTCGTCACGGTGGGAAAAGTTTTCAATTAGTAATAATCACGCCTCGGATAAACCTCATTGGCTATGATACTGCCACTGCACAAAGCTGCTATTCAAATTTTCTGAGCAATGCTTGTTTATTCCATACAATATTGATGTGTTGAGTTTTTATCAAGCATTCTGTAAGTAACATATATTTGTACTTAGATTTTAAAAACAATCTGAAATCTTTTCATTGCACTTTACCCTTCATGACATAGTTGTTAAATTTGACCTAACTTCAATCATTTTATTGCATGCTCCCTATTTTTTTATGCTGACTAGTTGACTAGTTTTTTTCATCCTAGCAGTTTTGCTTTCTACCTCTTGATGTACAGACTACATTTTATCTCATTTTATTTTCTCCATGTTTGCTTTACTTCTCAGCAAGTTTTTACACATTTGCTCACTGTCTCCTTGAAACTCTTGCTTCCTTCATCGTTCATGGAGTGACTTTTGTCTAGGTGTTTCACCTTCCCTCTGGCACTTTCTCTTCAATTCTGATGGTTTCTTCCTCTTTCCCCTTTCCTTACAACGTTAATGTTCTTAAGAGTTCCTTTTTTTCTTCTTAAGCCACTTTTTTTGGGCCATTTCATTCCCTTCCTTGGATTTAAGGATCATCCATATGTTAACAGTTCCCAGCCTTTTAGATCTATCTTAGATCTCTCTCCTGAACTCAAGCCCATAGATGCAACTGACTACTAGATGTCTATATTTGGATGTCTCACAGGCATATTAAACATAGCATACTCAATATGGCACTCATCTCTTCCCAAGTAAACCTGTTCTTCTGCCAGGATTTTCCCTCCAGAAAATGACAGGACATCAATCCTAAAGCCAGAAAATCTGGGAACATCTTTAACTTTTCTCTTCCCCTCAGCCCTTGTATTTCTCATCTGCATCTATCAATATTCTTGATTCTGTAATCTACATAGCTATGAAATTCTATTTCCTCTTCCTCTCTCTATAGCCCCTAACCCAGTGTAAGTGACCACCAGCTCTTCTCCGGATCCTGCAAAAACTACCTAATTCATCTTCATTCTGTCTTCCCTCCTGAATTAAGAGAATCTTTCAAAATGCAAATCTGACTGTGGTACTCTTCCATTTAAAACTCTCCAATGGCTTTCCTTTACCTCTAAGTCAATGTTGTCAGGCCTCCTTCATCTTGGCCCCCGCTCACCTCTATTGCCTCTTTCTGAGCACTTTCCATGTCTCACTGTGCTCTCCAGCCATACTACATTTACATCAGTTCTTTGAACATTCTATGTACCCTGTGGCAGACACTGTGAATTGTTCCATTATCCATTCCCTCTTTCTTCTTTTTAGTAATAGAACCCATCCCATTCTCATCCAGATTTAGTGGGACCCATGCTACAAGATGTGACCCTGTGACTGGATTCTCGCCAGTGCAATATGAGGAGGAGTGATATATCCAACTGCAATGTTACTTCCGTAAAAGGAAATTGATTGCCTTTTGTTTCCTCTTTGCCCCTTCCCTGTGGCTAGAATACAGATGTGGAACTAGTAACCTTTATGTGGATGAGAAAATGCACTAGGGCAATAGAAGGCTATAATATGTTGTTTTGGTTTATTTTTTTTGAGATGGAGTTTCACTCTTGTCACCCAGGTTAGAGCACAACGGTGCGATCTCAGCTCACTATAACCTCTGCCTCCCAGGTTCACTCAATTCTCCTGCCTCAGCCTCCCAAATAGCTGAGATTACAGGCATGCACCACCATGTCCAGCTAATTTTGTATTTTTATTAGAGACAGGGTTTCACCATGTTCTTCAGGCTGGTCTCGAACTCTTGACCTCAGGTGATCCACCCACCTCAGCCTCCCAAAGGGCTAGGATTATAGGCATGAGCCACTGTGCCCCACCAAAAACGGAAGGAACCCAGGACCCTGAATGACCATGCAGTGGAGAGTACATTCTGGTTGTTTATTGCAGCAGGTTAGCCTGTTTATCAGTCAGGGTAGCCTCTGTCATGTTGCAGTCATACATAACCCCCAATGCTTAGCAGCTTTTTTCCCCCAACAATAATAAACTGGCATATTGCAAGTTACATTTTGAAGCAAAAAAGACTGGTTGGGACAAAAGAAAGAAGACACCTGCACTATACGTGCTTCGTACAAACAGTTCATTCTGAATGGTAGAATTAAATGCAGACCAAATGCTTTTAAATGTTTGTGTGCCTAGATAGTAATTACAATCTCCACACACTAAAAAGAAAAAGAACAATAACACAGAACATAGTATTCTTAATGATTACAGCGCATTTAACACCTTCAGCCATCCACTGGGTTTTCAGATCATATTGGCAACTGAAATTTCACATCCTTATGTGCTTGCTTTGCAAAGGCCACTGTTTCAGAGAGCTTTAGCAACATTCTAGCAGCTTCATCCCAGTCATCACAAGCAAGTATTTTAAGTCCATGGTCCACTATCAGTGCCTTAGCATCATCGACCCACGTACCTTGTAACTGTACCACAACGGGGATTCTAATTTCCAAATCTTTTACAGCCATGACTATACCCTGTGCAATAACATCACAGCGCATGATTCCTCCAAAATTGTTGACCAGAATAGCCAGTACCTTTTTATCTGAAGCGATAAGCTTAAACGCTTCTGTTACTTGATGGATTGCAGCACCACCACCAACATCAAAGAAGTTGGCTGGAGTCCCTCCATGAAGTTTCATTATATCCATTGTGGCCATAGCCAAACAAGCACCATTTACTTGGCAGCCTATATTTCCATCAAGGCCAGTGTAGTTCAGACGTGCCTTAGCAGCATCTTTGTCCCTTTCATCTTCCTGGGTCCAGTCCTGTAGATGAAAGATTTTCTTCTGGCGATAGGCTGAATTAGAGTCAAAATTGATCTTTGCATCCGTACACAACACAGCTCCATCTGAATCTTCCACTATTGGATTTATCTCTATCATGGTTGCATCGTATTACAGAAAAAGACTGTAAAGCTTGACCATGTTTTCTGCTTCTGAATCCACTATATTAGGTGGAAATCCCGTCTTCTGTGCAAGCCAGAGAGCTTGTTCCTTTTTGATGCCTTCTACAACATCAATAGGTTCTTTAATTATTACTTCAGGAGTCTCAGCAGCAACATCCATGTTGACGCCACCATGTGAACTGCCTATTAATACAGAACCTTGAAATGACCTTTCCATTGTTATTGCTAAATAGTACTGTCTCTTGGGATATTTTCGCTCACAGACCACTACTTGATTGCATATTCTGCCCTTTTCTCCCGTTTGCTTGGTAAACAACTTTTTTCCAATCATTCGAAAAGAAACAGCTTTTGCTGCTTCTGGAGAGAAAACTATCTTCACTCCTTCTCTGAGGCCACTTTCAAATGTTCCTTTTCCTCTACCACCAGCTAAAACCTGTGCCTTTATCACAACATCTTTTGAACCTAATTTTTTGGCAATTGCATAAGCTTCCTCTGGTGACTTTGCCACATATCCTTTGGGAACAGAGACATCAGCTTCTTGCAATAATTCCATACTCACGCATTCATGTAGTGTGAGATTCCTTTGCTGTTGCTGCTGTACTTGGAATCCATGTTTATTAAACAATCCAGAATTTCCCAGAACCTGAGGCCGGTGGTTCCAAAAGGTAGAGGTGGTCAACTACCAGCTGTAGAACATGGAGGCAGCCATTTCTGAGTCAGCGGTAGCTTAACACAATAAGCTACTTATTTATTTTTCACTGATACTATGTAGATTCAGCACAGATCAGCAGAGTGGCTCTGCTCCGGTAGTCACTTGGGGACCTTGCCTAACGAAGAGCTTCATCTAAATATGTGTCTTAATGAGCCCATAGGAGAGAAAGGGAATTGGCAAATTGTACTGTCTTTTAAAGCTTACAGCTAGAAGTCAGCCACACACTCCACTCACAGTCCATTAGACAAAGCCAAGTTAAGGGTTAAGAATGTGTAGTCCTACATGTTCCCAGAAGGAAGAGAAAACCACAATGTTTATGATGAGTCCCAGTGACTATTTCCGCAGCTTCATTAATACCTCTTAGCTTGTGTTCCCCCTAGAAAAGTAACGTCTACTTGTTTTGCTCAACTGTTTGTAGGATATGTTTCAAAATTTATATTTCAAGGAATTCACAAGACCATAACTTCTCATTAATTCTTCCTGCAATCATTAACCTTGGATTCCCAGAATAATTATTTCCTTTCCATAATGACCCCCAAATATTTATCTAAATATCTGAATCCTCTCCAAAGTTCCAGTACAGTACTAGATTTCCCTCTGGCCACTACATGTCAAACTTGACAAGCAAAAGAAACCTTAATATTACCTTCACTTGCCCCTCTTAAATCTGTTTCTTCTAACTGGTTTATGTTTAATTTTGTTTCCTTTTGTTAGTATCTTTGTCCCCAGCCCCTAGAATAGTACCTAGCACGAGAAGGGGCACTATATTCAAATTGAATTAATGTATTAATGCTATCAAAATTTGATAATGGTTCCCAAATGTGGAAAATTCCATTCCCTCCTTACCAGCCTGCTGAGTCTGCCTCTGAACTCTCTGTTGCAGATGATTCTTCTCTTTCACCTGCCACACTTGGCTATTCAGGAGCTTACTGCCTATGAAGCAGGCTGTTCTGATACCTTTCTGACAGTTAGTCCCATTGCCAATTTTTCTATTCTCCTGTCCATTTCACACAACACTTCCATGTTAATTTCCTTGAAGCGTATGACTCATTTTGTCACTGTTTCACAATCCTATAAGGAGCACATATAGTATGCAAGTGATGTGCTACATTCTGAAGGGAAAACAGAATCACGTACAGCCTCCAACCTTGAGCAGCCCACCACCCCATGGGGAGACAGATGTGATTCAGAGCAGAGACAGCCAAGATGGGAGGAGCACTGAGCTGGGGTGACAGAGGTGACAGATGCTGAATCAACCACAGAGCCACACAAGAGGAGCATTTACTCCACGTTCCCACAGACAATTAGACATCTTCCTGGACAGAAATAGGAACAAGTTAATCTTTGGAGCCAGGAGGAAGGAAGGAAAGGATAGGTACTCACTGAGGTTAGTTTAGAAGTGGGGGCCAGGGAAGAAAATGGATGGTGATTAGATCCGAGGACTTCTGTTTCATCTGATGGATGAGGAGAGTTTCTTCCTTGAGGAGGACAAGCACTATGCTGTGGAGTGTTCCCTAAGACCTGGATGTGCTGCCAGCTGGTGGCTTTCGGTTCCCAGTCCCTGCTGGAAACCCCTGTGTCCACAGCATGCAATCTAATTCTACAGACAGGTACTGATACTTTGGGCATGGTGTTTGGCTATATTAGGAAGCTGCTGTTCCCCTTCCCCCGTGTAGATTTCCACCACGGACGCCATAGTTTGGCTTTTATGACAATGCTTAGATACACACTGTTCTCCAGGGGAGGGAGCCTGAAGTCAAATGAATTGCTGCATGGATCTTGTAAATCCATAGCAGACCGAATTGCTTGGAAGCCATAGTACTTTTTATTTATAAAAGCCAGGCTTTTTTGAGAGGAAAAAAAATAGGAGAACTTTTTTTTTTTTAAGGGAAAGGGGATATTATTTTTGGAATTCTGAAAGCTTAACTTTGAATATAGAGCCAAAGCCTGGAAAATTGAAAGCATATATTTTGCAAATAAGCCACGGAAAAGGGAAAGATGACAAAATCGTTTTTGCCAGATGGCATCCTCCTCAGCACTTTTCCCACCCCCCTCACCCCCGCCCCACACACTCACTCATACCATCAAAAGGAATATCAGGCAGGGCGAGGCGGAGTTTTGTCATTTATTTTAAGTGCCTCTTTTGCGCAAGGCTCTTGGGGAATAAAAGACAATTCCTTTTCAGAAAAGAATCATCTAATCTGGCAAGGGTGATAAACGGGATCTCTCCACAAACACGTGAAAAACTGTCATTTATCTTTTTCGTACTGGCCAAGACTGCTGATTCCTGGCTCTGTGCTGGAACTTCGGGAGATCATACAGCCTCTGATAGGATCTTCTAGAAATTTCCGTGCACCTTTGGTGAATTTCCAGGAGGACTGGGAAAGCAACTTTATAGCACAGGCAGGTTGACAAGATCACCTAAATAAGCCTGCCAATGTTGGAGCTCTTTCCCATGCTGAACTGAAGAGGCCTCAAAGTCTTGCTGACCTTCTCTCTTTCACTGTCTTTCCCCAAACACAGGATGCCTTCATCTGCTTAAAGCAACCCACCAAAAGGAACAATTGTTTTTTCTTCCTCTCCCTGTAAAACCAAGGCTGTAACTATTATAGTAGGTAGCTAGTCAGACATGAGCGGGCTGAGAGAGGGCTTGCCCCCCCCCACCAGGAATGTCATACTGCCTCTCTACAATGATAATTGGTCACAGCAGGTGCAGGGAGAGGCAATTTCCCAATAGACACAAACTTGAAATTGGCCATTGGCAACTTCCATTAAAATCTCAGGAATTGGGCGAGTGGGCTCAAGTATGTGCATGAAGAGACAAAATGGCAGAGTATAACTTTCTGGGGCATTCTACTGGGAAAGGGAAGAGCACCACAAGCGAGCACGCGTACAGCTCCAGTACACATACTGAGCATGTTCACACTGAGCACGTTCACCTTTCAAGTGTTAGCAGGTCACCACGCATGTGGGCAGCCCACTCCAAGGGAATCATGGGAAAAAGGACACAAGATCCTGGAAGTATGCCAGCATAGAAAACTCCAAGTCAAAAAGTAAAATGCCACACTTGTACTTCAAGTCAGCCATGTGGGTCTCTTCCAAGTGTACTTTCTTTCCTTTTGCTCCTGTTCTTTTTTCTTTTCTTTGAGACAGAGTCTTACTCTGTCGCCCCGGCTGGAATGCAGTAGCACCATCTCAGCTCACTGCAACCTCCGCCTCCTAGGTTCAAGCCTCCTGAGTAGCTGGGACTATAGGAGTGAGCCACCACGCCCGGCTAATTTTTGTATTTTATTTTTTTTTAATTTTTGTATTTTTAGTAGAGTCAGGGTTCCACCATGTTGGCCAGGATGTCGAACTCTTGACCTCAAGTGATTTGCCTGCCTCAGCCTCCCAAAGTGCTGGGATTACAGGTGTGAACCACCATGCCTGGCCACTGCTCGAAAGCTTTTTTTTTTTTTTTAACTTTTTTTCTTCTTTAGTTCTATCCACTTGACATCCCATCGAAAACTTTTTAATAACTTCACTCCTACTCTGAAACTTGCCTTGGTCTCTTTTTCTACTGTATGTTCCTCAGTCGAACTCTTTCTTCTGAGGAGGCAAGAATTTAGGTTGCTGCAGACAGCTACAGATTCGCTGCCAGTAACTTGGATATTCTCCACCCCTAACATTTTGGTGCCATGTGACTTATATACTTTCCACGCCTAACCTATTCACACCTGAACAGATCCATTCACAAGATAACATGCAAATTAATCTCGGCTCCCTGATCCATTCATTCTCCCCAGATCCCCTCAACCAAATCCTCCTTTCTCCCCGCCCGTACTGTTAGAATGATACACATGCTTGTGAACCACCTTGCAGGGTGGGCAGTCACTCAGGATTCTCCCCATGTGCATGCTGTGTACACATTAAATAAATCTGTATGCCTTTTCTCCAATTAACCTGCCTTTTGGGAGATTATTTTTTTTAGTGAATTTTGTAAACCAAAAATAAAATTCTAATCCCCCTCCCCCGCACAGCCATCTGAATGAACCCCTTCTCCCAGCCAAAGGCATTCTGTAGTTAACCTGAAAATCCAGCTCAGGTCATAGTGGTAGAGGGGTTTAGACATGCCTCACTGTGCCCCTCCTGCATTAATGGCAACACAGACCTTAAGCCTAATAAGAAACCTTTACAATCTATTTTCTCTGAAGCCGGCTCCCTGGAGGTTTCATCTGCATGATAAAACCTTGGCCTCCACAACCCCTTATTTTAATCCAGACATTTCTTTCTACTGATAATAACGCTTTTAACCAGTTGCCAATCACCTATGACCTGGAAAATCTACCTATGACCTGGAAAATCTACCTATGACCTGGATGTCCGCCCTGCCCACCCCCTTCAGGTTGTCTCTTTCTTCCATTGAACCAATATAAATCTTACACACATTGATTGATGTATTATGTCTCTTAAAATGTATAAAGGCACTGTTTACAATAGCAAGGACCTGGAACCAACCCAAATGCCCATCGATGATAGACTGGACAGGGAAAATGTGGCACATACACACCATGGAATACTATGCAGCCAT